GTCTCTGGTGTTTCTGCATCAGAGCCAAAACGAAGGAGCAGGTCTTCTGAGCGCTGTCGAGGTTTTCGTCCGCCTTTGACAGAACAAAGTAGAACTGGGGGTTCTGATAGAACCAACCTGCACACACACAAACACACTGTTAGTTTTCCTATCGTGTGTAACTTTTAACATTTCTTTTCATAATTAATTTTTTCATGTTCCAAGCAGGACCTGATTTAACTGCCTCCAAATGTACAATTTATTGGTCCTCTGTCCAAAGGTCTTTAAACAGAAGCTAACAGACCTAGAACAGGATGACGGGAAGCCCAGTTACCCTAAACCAGACTCCATGCGTGTGATCTCTGTGTGGCTATATTCCTAACTGTTTACCTGGCAGTGTCTGATATCAAAACTTGGTCTACCTGTAAAACTGCAGCTCTGTTATTGAAGACTGTACAAATAAGCTTGTCTCAGCTTGTTGAGAGTTATAGAATCCTTCATAAACATTATACAGTAAGAGATCTCAAACAAAAGCACAAGGATTATTTCTGAGTGCTGCACGTCAAATGTAATATATTACATAATGTACAAGTGAAACAAAGACTGTCACATAAAATTAAAGAGAAAAAAAACTGCATCTGGGAACAGACAGACAGGCGTGTGCTGCACAGAGGGATTAGAGGGGAAACTTCAGGTTTAACTCTCATTGTTCACAGTTACAAAGGTGCTTCACTTCTTACGTCTTGATAATTTATGCTCGAGACTGGAGCGAAATACACTGCAGGTCAAAAGTTTGAGAACACCCCGATTTTTCCAGCAATTATGCCGTTTAATGTCTGATTGCACTCTGAAATGAAAGCATAGTACAAATAAGCAATTGGAGTTCAAAAAGAAATCATGGAATCAATTCATAGACCAAAATGTATTCTAACCTTTAAGTAGCCACCAGATATAACAGCTGAACACACCCGTAGCTTTCTTTCTACAATAGAAATCTGTTTGTTGCAGAAGTTCCCATAAATGTGGACCTTGTAGGTCGCTTTGCTTTCACTCTTCTGTCCAGTTCATCCCAAACCAGCTCGATGAGGTTTAAGTATGGAGGACTGTGCTGGACACTCTGTGTTTTCAAGTAGTTCTGCCATAGCTTGGATTATGTTTTGGGTCATTATCCCGCTGTAGGATGAACCCCTGACCAACTAGGCGCATACCAGAGGGTATTGCATGGCGCTGCAGAATGCTGTGTTGGCTGTTTTGGTTCAGGGTGCCTCTCACAGCGGTGTTTCATGGCCCAGGCAAGTCTCTTTGTCTTATTCTGTATAATACTATGGTATGTGGTTTATACAAAAAGCCCTTTTTGTATAATTATGAAATTCCTTTTTTTAGTTTTGGGTAACCTTACCTTTTTTTTAACCCTCTGGCAGTTCACCACTTACCTTTGTGCCATTTCAAGCTATTCGTTGGACTTGAACAACTTGAATTACATCAGATAACTGGAAAAATTGGGGTGTTCTAAAACTTTTGACTAGTATTGTATTTTCTAGACAACAAGAAAAAACCTGCACCTACTGACAAATTGTGCAGAAAAGAGTGTCACCATTTCTGGAAGATCCCTGAGGAATCTGTCCACGGGCAGCAGGAGGCGCTAAAGTTTTGGTCTTTCCCTGGTGAGCATCAGTTAAAAGTGACTCTCAGGAGAGACTGTATTCCTACTCCTTTGTGTCGGCTGTAAGATATATTAAAACATTGTTCTTGTATTTTTCGTCATATTTGACGCTAAAATCAGAGTGCACTACACAACCTTCAGAGCCTGGATAGCTCAGTCGGTAGAGCATCAGACTTTTAATCTGAGGGTCCAGGGTTCAAGTCCCTGTTCAGGCGCGGCTCTTTTATAGACTCACTGCCAGCAAGCGCAAAGATTAAGGCTAATAGTGACTAATTAACACATGAAACTAACTGTTTGCCAGATTGGCCCCTACTCTGTGAACTTCTGTCTAGTTTTAAATATCTCAGCTTTATCTCCAGTTTTAAAACCAGCTGCTGGGCTTGTGAGGTTCAGAGTTAAGAGTGAGGCACAAAACATTTGACACACGCCATCACCCGTCTTACCTCCTTGAGGACGGCCTCCTGCTGTGATGTTCGGCTCCCAGGTGCCATGATGCATAATGCAGCTCAAAGGCAACATGCTGGAGCCTGGTTCACTGAGAATCTCCGTCAGGTGGCAGACCTCCATCATATCGAAGTTCTGTCGGAAGTCCGACACCGACATCCTGACAGAGAGAGAGAGGAACAGAGCGACTGGCCAAACAGATTTTCCTTCGTCTGTAAATACTTAATGTGTTTGAGTAGCATTGGCACATCCAAGTTCAAAAACAAAGACACATTTGGTTTCTTCACTGCAATCATCTCATCTGCTCTGTTTGGAACTATTGGTGTTGTTTTAATCATCGCTGTCACCGTTTCATTCATCCCTGCTGAGTATCCACCCTGGGATGAGCAGGAACAGCCATGGGCGGCCCCATAAAAGCTGTGTGACAGTCGCTGGTATAACATTACGATAAACTCACCAGAACTCTCCGTCCTCCTGTCTGACTCTGCCGAGTCGTTTCTGCTCCTCGATGCTCACAGTTTTCCACTCTTGACTGCAAACACAGAGGTTTGTAAACGTGCTGTAAATGTGTGAAGTACGTACTCAAGAAGGTGCGTTAGTAAGGTGACGTTTTGTTTGTATGTGACCTCATGGATTCAGATTAAAGAGGCAGTAAATTGAGCGATGAGATCAGTGCAAACGCATTGATTATATCAATTATTTTAAGATTATTAAAGTATTTAAGATGTTTTTATGTTATTTTCTGTGTTTTTGTACTTCCCTTTTTTCAGTGTCTTTTTTTTTTAAACACACTCAATTTTAATCTCACATTTGACTTTAGACAACAGTAATAAAAACCACGAAGCACAAGAAACTGTGATCTATGCTCTGCACGTCACGTCCAGGTGGCCCACGATTACTGCGATTAGCCCATTCACTCCCCTCACTTCCTCCAATGCATTACCAGCTACTTCTTCTTCTGATGCCATTTTTGAGTTGACTGAAAGGATTTAAATTTAGAGTAAGTTTAATCAGCACTGCTCATTGGATGATCTTCATACCCT